ACTTTCTACGCACGATTGCAAAACGGTCACTAAACAATTCTCAGAACACTTTAACGCATTGTTGGTCACGAGTTAACTCGTGTCTGCACTTGCATTAGCTATTTCAATTTTTGGAACACAGGGCAATACAGAACATTTCAAAAGCAAAATATTCAAAATTATATTTCAATTCATTATATGTAAATATATTATATCGAAGTTTATTTGGATTGTTTCACTTTCATATTTAATAGCGAAATAACAACCATGAGATAGCTTCTGCATGGAATTGCCGGTCAACAATGCGTTAAGACCATTACCTTACAATACCCGAATCGACGCGAAAAGCACAATTTATACGACCGCCTGCGGTAGCGAGACGACTAAAAATAGACCGCGTGACGGAGCACCGTAAATCAAGCAGCGATCCTACGAAGGTATGCGAATGGTACGCGTTGGGCAAACAGCCGTCCGCGAACCCGCGATCAAACAACCGGCAACCCGTCTCGGTTCCCACCTGCTCAGTCGCGCATTCGCTGTCCTGTTTTAGGACTAACACCCGCCTAACCAGGATCTCGATCCATTGGACTCGATAATAAGCGCACCTGGTCAAATTCAATTATACGACTCCCGAGGGCGGCTAATCCAACTTGCAGGTCATCAAGTCACGCGGCGGAACTGGCTCGAAGACCGAGCGCCGGTCGGCCGCAACCGGCCGTACGTATCAAATATTGAAGTTCCCGGATTGCGGCTGGCCTGGCCCCCGGGAACACCAAATAACCATCGCGGACGGAAAACGCGGGAAGCCTCGGCGAAACGCGCGGCAGCGACGGTTTACCCTGATTTACATGGACAACGGGTGAAGTAAGATACGAGGGGGGCGCCGAGCTTCAGCCACGGCATCAAACTTCTAAAGTCAATTCGACGCGAGCCTCGCTGCGCGCTAAACGAACGCTCAACACTGCGACACTGAATCTTCTATGATACTTTGCTTATCGCCCCGTGTTTTCATTGTTTCGAGCAAACACGAGGTGAAATCCGCGTGCAGATGATGTTAATCCTTCGCGGACGGGGATTCTTTGAAATATTCCAAGCCCTCAAAATTAAATTATACATCAAATGCTTAAATATTCGATCGGAAGAAAATATACTGATCTCTTGTTACTTGAGTAATTAAATCGTTTGTTTGTCATTTTGAATTCTGAATGTTGAAATTTGATCTCGACGGGATGATGATATCTGTTAAAGAGTTGAACGGTCTGAATTATCTTCGCTTGCACGTTTTGGTGGAATAGCCTTTTCTTAATTGTAGCCCCATGCAGGCTATATGGTTTTTAAATGAATGTAAAGTGAAGGATATTTGTAATTTTCCATTGGATTTTTACGTAGAACGAATATTTTACTCCTTAAATGTTTAACAATTGTACAGCCCCATCGATCCGCGAAAACATTTGTATTATATATCGCGAGCGAATTTCACTGCGGAAGCCGTACCTAACTTTCCGAACGATTATAAAAGCCGGGAAACTGGCTGTGCAGTGTCCAGGCTGGAACTTGCACCGTGTCCTGCGAGCAGAAATAAAAATATATTGTGCACGGCCGCGAGTGCAAGGATTTTCAGAGCAGGTGAGTAGCCAGTGTATTAATGTTTTCCCCGAGTAATTCCACGCCTCTTGCTAGCGAACCCACGTCCAGTAGATTCCGGTGTGCACTTTGTTAACAATACACGAATATTTCACGTTCCCAGGCGGTATGCCATTCGGCCACGCGACACATAAATCCTTAAACCTTCAACTGCGCAAATATGCAATATTTCTTCGTATTCGATACTCGCGGAACGTACGCGTTAATTGATATCGATCGGCGGAAAAAGGTGGAACTAAAGATGCGATTAAGTTGTCCGATGAAAAAGGAATTGTTAATTAAAAATACATTCGACGAAAAATGAAATATTTGCTGAGGCGCCCGCATGTGTTTCATATAAACCGTACAACGGAACTGTTCATTAATCCAAGTGATTTCTTTGTCAACAAAAACGCAGATACGCGTAAAATTGGAAACTCTCATTTCGTAAAATTTCAAACGCTTTGTTTACTCGGCAAACATGCGTGAACTTTCGAACGTTTTTTGGGAAATAAATTAATTCGTGAACGCAAATATTTTATTTCGTGGATCTGTGTGCTCGGCGTCGGCATGAAAGTTATAACAACTTCGTTGCGGAGAAGTATAGTATAATAGAAAATACAAATATACAAAGGGGCAAACATCGTTTGAAAATTTTAATTATACAACTCTGTTGAAACGGTGCAAATCGAAATTGCACAAGTTCGGTGGAATAAGTAAACGAAAAAAAAAATGGAAAACAAGTCGACATTACGTTCCATTCTACTTGACCTTTCATTATTTTTCTCAGTATCGATGAAATCTGCGCGAAACAATTCCTTTATGTGAAATGTTTGCACTGTTTTACGAACAAACAGTGCAAAGAATCATGTTCTCCTTTTCTGAAAACAATTACTGCAACCACAATTCAACTGTCTTTTATGTTCCATTGTGTTGCACTCTCAGCGTCCACGTTCTACGTGGCAAAGCTTGTGCCGCTAACAAAAAACATGGCATAAAAAAGGAGTGCAGCGTTGAACAAAATAAAAGCACTAAATCCGCATTGTTAGTATTTCTCAATTTACTGAATATATTAATCCATTCTGAATTTCATTATATTTTATGTATCGGTTATATTAAATCATTTTCAAACTAATTGTAAACCAATTCCATACGTTTATCTTTGAAACGGTGAATTCTCATAAATATTCATAGGGAATGTTTATATAGTTATTATAATACGAGGAAATCGACGAAGCGTGACACTAGAGAGAGAGAGAAAGAGAGAACACTTAAGTTATTTGGCTTGATATCGATAAAACACGTATGTATTTTGACATAATTATCTCTTGTATCAACGTGCAGCCGATCGGTGCATCATAAAGATTCTTATAGGACTGTCCTGCAGCTGCGTAATCATCACGATGGCGCTTCTGGGATTACATTTTACGCTGTTGAGCCAGTATGTCGATACGAAAAGTTTCGAGTGGACACCGATCCTATCGATGATACTTTATGCAATGATATTCATCGGAATTGTATCAGTTCCAAACACAACGCTCGTCATACTTCTCCCATACGATTTAAAGAATATAGCCGGATTAATGTATACCGTTGCATTGGTACAACGAGTTTGCATACATTTCGTAGTTACCAGCGTGCATAGAATATCTCATAAGGGCAAATATAAATTTTGAACTCCACTGAAAGGGACGCAAATTTTTCAAGAGATTATATTGTAATAATAAATGTCGACATTTCATGCGGTTAAGATCTTCTAAGAAAAGATTAAGAGAATGAGTTAATTCTGAATGCAGCAGTTAAGTAAAAAGAAAAAGAAGGAAACGTAATAAATAGATAAAGTAGTAGCTAATTCAATAAAAATATGAGCGAACAGAATGCTGCAGGAACACATCGTCGAATCCACGGTTCACAGTATAGATTATGCAAATATCGAAAAACTAATTTAAATATAATTACCTTTCAACCGTGTGGCAGCACAAATAACACTACATTGCTGTCATATTTATTAATATTATACGGACGCACGCAATAGAAATACACATGACATAGACCATTATTTACATTCCAACTACAATACCGTCCCGCGTCACTCCAGTTCGTTGTGCAATAACGGAAACGTCATCGGTCATAAACATTTAGTGCTGTTATTTGACTCTAACCGGAGGCAATTCACACGGTAATACACGTGCCTTATCTTATCATGGAGAGAGCCGGTAACTAACGAAAAGTGTAACAGTTTTTAATTCGACGTGTCGGGGTCGCGCGAAACGCACAAGAGTCTGATCGATTCCGTTGAACCTGAACTTGACGTTGTCATTGAAAATAATAGAAAAAATACGTGTTGCCGTGTATTTTAAAAATGTTTTATTGCTTTGCATGCTTCGTCACATCGTTGGTTAAATATTTAATTCTCTCGGAAGGTAATTATCGTGCCGATATCGTTTAATACGCTACCCACTGGGTTACATTTACGTATGACGTACCCGCCGACGACGTGACTGGTACGAATTGTTCGAAATTAATAAAGCGGCACGTTGACAGACTTCCTTCGTCAAATTTACATTGGAATTACGTGTGTCACATGTTGGCCTGATAAGGCTGGAACAAATACAACTTTCTCATCACAAAAGAATCTAAAAATATATTGATCCCCACTTTCCACAATTTATTGTAAGTACTATATAAAAAGCAACTTAAGAATGGGCGTACTTCCAGTAGAATCGCAGGCAGCACACCTCGATTGACAAATTTGTATACTCGGTTCGGCAGTGATGTGTATACAATTTATTCTTGACATCCGATCTTTGTCTGTTATTCTAATGAAAATGATTCATATAGTTTCCTCATCCATCGGAATAATTAGACGTTAAGCTGATGTGAAAAGATCGTTGATGTATTTATAACAGCTGCGATCGACTGTAAAAGTACGTAATCTTCTAAATTCACGGGATTCGTCGTTGTTAACCTTAGAATTTCGATCCTGTCACTATTATTTGTTTCATTTGAACTTCTTAGCACTACAATGCATCTTTTAATTAATTCGAACACTGCACACGATAACACCGTTATCACTAAACTGTTTAATTATACAAAAACTGTTCCTAGTGATAGGTCTCATATTTATTTTGGCCGGAGGCAGCATGAAATTTCATTTCTTGTGTTGTTTCTTAACAAACGATGCAGCAATGCGGAAACGCATACAGCTGTTATCTTATCAATGAGATGTTAATATTCCCCTTTTTTCGTACGTTGTGAAGGTATTGGTTTCTGATGCAAACTGGACTCTTGTCAGTCGGCTCGTATCTTGAGAGAGGTTACCATGACGGTGGAAATGGGCGAGAAGCAGCCTAAGAATGTAACGTGGCCACAGTGGGTGGCCAGTATCGGAGGTAAACAGATTCAAATGTTACAATTAATACAGACGAAACGTGTAGTTTAGTGTACGCGAGGATACACGCTTTCCTCTTCACTCGATATTTGTGACTGTGCAAACTCTGTGAAGCCTAATACCGACACAAGGAACTTCCAAATGCTAGACAAACATAAGCATGATATACTACTGTAGCGTCGTACGTTCCGGCACTTTAACTACCGATTACATTTTTGCAACAGAAATGTAGGTGATTGTTGATTTAATACGGAATCAATGTACGGAATAACTGTTGGATAAGAAGAGGAATATTATATGTTTCTAACGAGAACGGGAAACTGTAGATGCACTTTTTTACTTCGTAGTGCCGGTCATTTGACCGGACGTGGTATGTTTAGCATTAAATTATAGAAGTAAAATACTGTTGCGATATATCGAACACGGATCTCCAATGTTATGCAGGGGTGAATCGATCTTTACGATTTGAAGATGGTTTGAACGAAATGATCGTTAAGAGACAATCGAAGAAATGAGGAGAAACGGGAGTCTCCGGTGAACCGCGAACGCAAACAGATGTGTAACGCGCTCCAGAAAGCTATTCTAATATTCTCATTATATATTCATTCTGTTTGAGTGCAAAATAAATTCGGAATATTTTCTCCTGTGTCGTGCAATTTTAAATAAACTATACTCGTTTTCATGCATAAGATACTTCCCAACCTACTCGTTCAGTTCACAAACCATTGATCTTCAATTTGTTCGCAGTCACGCTGCTAATTACCGAAGTAGGATTCATGGGAGGATGGTCGTCTCCGTATTCAGAGAAACTAACATCACCGGAGTCAACTATCAAGATGAGCAGGGTGGAATTGTCTTGGGTGGTGTCCTTGCTAAACCTCGGACGACTATTAGGAGCTATCAGCGGCTCGCTGTGCGTCAATTATTTAGGCAGCAAAACATCCCTCTTGGCATCAGCGGTTCCAACCGCTATGTGCTGGGTGTTTGTGGTCATAGCTGACAACGTATGGTGGCTGTACGGTAGTAGATTCCTCGGTGGATTAAGTTTGGGCATGCTGTACAGCAGTTTTTCCCTTTACCTGGGAGAAGTAGCCGATCCCAGTATCAGAGGAACGCTGGTAGCTATGAGCATGGGCGGTGTACCAATCGGCACCTTTGTAATGAGCACCATGGGAGCATACTTGTCGATGGATGTATCGGCCGCCATCTGTTTAGGTCCCTGTCTGATCGCAATGATCCTCTTTCTTTGGATGCCCGAGTCACCTCACCACTTAATCACGAATGAGCAGTACGAGAAAGCGAAGTTATCCATTCAGTGGTATCATAGAGGCTGCGACGTGGAGACGGAGTTCGCATCCTTGAAGAAGTTCATCGACAGTTACAGCGGGCGGACATTCCTGGAGACTCTGAAGGAGTTCAAGACTCCTTGCTACAAGAAGTCGATGCTCCTCATACTGTTCCTCTTCGCGTACAGTCAGGTAACCGGTGTGAACAACGTGTTCTTCTACATGGAGGCGGTCCTGAAGAATGCTCAGGTGACCATGATCCAGCCATCGATGGCGGTGGTCATCATTTTGGGAGTCGGTATCATTGGTCCTTGCGGATCTATGATCCTGATGGACAGGTTCGGAAGGAAGCTGTTGATGATCGTATCCTCAATCGGTGCCATAATATCGCTATGCTCGTTGAGCCTCGTGTTCCACCTGCTGCGCTCTGGCTTCCAGTCAACCGTACTAGAAGGACTATCAATCATTTCAGTGCTCTGTCTGTACATCAACGTGTTCCTGGGCATCCTCTCTACGCCGCCCACGATTCTCAGTGAACTGTTCCCCTCGCATCTGAAATGCATCGCGGCCTGTTTCGCGAGCTGCGTGGCTGGCATCTCTTCGTTCATTTCTGCGTTTACTTATCTACCTCTGTTGGATCTGCTGACCGAACTATACGTGTTTTTGTTCTACGCTTTGTTCATACTGTTCGGACTGCCGGTCCTAATGTACTGCGTGCCGGAGACCAAAGGGCTGTCTCTGCAAGAAATCCAGAGACGGCTGGTCAAGAAGCAGTAAACCTGTTAGAACATTTAAACGGTGGAAATTTACACTCCGATCTGTTTGCGGTGTAAATGCACAGCATGTGATTGTTGGAATAAACTTGCAGAGTCATTCGCTAATCGATGAGTGTAGTTATGTCTGAACTTGGACGACTATCGACTTGTAAATAAATTATGTATGCGATTCTACTGCTCATATCAGTTAGATAAGAACGTTGCTCGAAAATGTGATATTTGTTCTTTTTTGTTTTTTTTTTAATAAATATA